CTTCATCCTTCACCCACTACCTTTCTACTTGATGCACTGTACTGAGGTGTGTCAACTCGGACCGTTACGCAGTAATGCCTGGTCCTATGTTGATATTGATTGATTGTAGTTGCTGAATTGGACTTTAGAGTCATTCCACTGAAAATAAGATGGGAAGTCTTCCACAAGATAGGTTTTCCAATCCAGTACATACTTTTATGGAACAACGACTGTAAAGACCACCCTATAGACTAATGAAATAACCAATCATGAATGGATGCTTCTCCTGGGAAGGCTGTTCTCGTGAAAAACAGAAGTCTGATTGGCTATCTCAGCAATTGCTAGCCTTTTCTTTTACAAAACACTCATGTGTGGCATAGAGTTTAGTTTCATGCATATTTCTGACGGAAGTGGATGACTATGCAATACCCTCATAGTGCTGAGTAACAATTTTGCTATCATCGTTCGAAAACTGACCGACGTTTCCGATCAAGTCATCGTCAGTGAATTTAGGGAATAGCGATCACAGCTGGAGGTCATTGGTTGTGTCTGCAGACTTTGAGCCTCATGACACTCTCAGTACTGGATTTGAAATCGAGATCTGAGTGGCGAATTATACAATTCATGAGCTCACATTGTTGCTGTTGCCGAGTGACTTCGAAGGCCACTCCGGCAACTGCTGAGATAACTACAGTTACTTTTCACCATTCCATGCCTTACTAGTCAAAAATCCGAAAAATGACTGGTTATTTTAACAGTTGCTAGTGTGGTGTTTCAAGTCACCCTTGGTGCGATCATACTGTTTGTAATCAACGTCATTTGATTGAAGTCATTCACCAACCCCTGTATCATAGTCGTCGGATTTCTAGAATCTAGTTGAAGTCTTTTGGATTGTATCGTGTATAAGACTACTTTTCTCATTCACATTATTCCCGTTTATATCATCTTCTTGTGTTCGTTCCCATAATGTTGACATACTTTACCTACCTCATTTCTTCGTGTCCCTATGTTATATCAAAACTTTTCTCTGATAAATAAATGAATTAGGTTCACTTTACTACTATACATCACCTTTACCAAGCACGATTAACGAATATCCTAGCAACTTCACCGATTAGTGTCTCTCTTTGTCTCTTTATGTCACTCAATAGGTGTCAGAAGTTGTGCAAAACGAACAGCACTTAATGACATTCACTCCAAATATATCTATTTTCAGCTTTCTTAGTCTGAGTTTACGGTCGAGTATATGCAACAGTTGGACTGAACAATTAAATGTTAATTTGACGGATAAAATTTCTTCCTTCCCTTCTATCAGTATTTGTTATTGAATAACAGACCGGTTTCTCACATCTCGACTGAAATTTGTCGTCAGTGTAGCTACTCACTTGTATAAAGTGGAAAGTATCTTCAAGTTTTGCTGTCATCGGAATCGGGTGTGATGCAGACACAGACCAGCCTTATTATTGACACCGTCGGTATCGCCATATATCAAGAAACGACTGTGTGCCTATCAATGTGTTATTATTCGTCATGTTTCAGTGGCAACTTCGATGTACGATGAGAAGCTTCTGTCGTGTAGGAACTCTTCCAGTGCGTGGAAATTATTCACGGAACTTGCTGGTTCGAAACGCATAACTAATGAAGCTTGTTTTGACGTTTGGGCTTTGAGCCAATTATTTATAGTTCATAAAGCTGATTTCATCGTACTTGGTGTCTATAGTTCAGTGTATAGGTAACTAGCTACAGTTATTTTGTCAGATAGTGAGTATTCTCTTTATTCTCAGCTGTCTCTTTGTTTTTCTGCATGGAGTTCACGTAGAAATTTTGCGAAAGTTTACGCTAGTACGGCTATATGCAGGAATTCAAGTAAGCTTCATCTATCTTGCATCTTATGTGAAGGAAGCGGTCAAATCACAAGTTGTGTCTCAACTTTGTATCACAGTAATGACTCTTTCCAATGTTTCAACCATTCATGTTATACTGTCTTGATTTCTAATGTGATTTACATGATTTAATTAGCATAATTATTTTCGTAGGAAATGTTATAAAAGATTACCTTTTTATTGTTATGTTACATGCTGAGAATTTCAAGTCGTATAAACAAATTATTTGGAATGGGAGGGCCTGTCATTTTTATTAGTAAAGTTAAATTTTGTGCTGTGCTTTTATTGATAATTCGTAAAGTTGATAATTTACTAATCGAACACGAGAGAGAATGGAATTTCGGCAACTCTGTAACTGATATTTCCATATACTATGAAATGCGTTTTCAAGTGGTACATGTTATTTGCTAGTCAACTGATACGATTCCTAGTTCCAGCCCTTTTTATTGATTGAGTTTCAACATGTAATTCCGAAATGAGGCGCATCGCACTGTTAAATTATTTTGCTTGGTAGACACATCATGAACTTGATCGATATTGCTGGGGACTTACCGATTGAGGGCATCAGTTACTGTCTGATGATTGACAGATGGGTGTTTTTACGAGTACCTACTGCGACTACAGTTAAACAAATTACAAGTGCTTCGCTAATCTAGTTAGGATAAAAAAGAGTTGTATTCAGATGAAGACTATTGCTTTTGGATGATGAAGCGAATGGGTAGAAAGTTAACTATGGTTACTACATGTTGCTATAAAAACTTCGAGAAATTTCGGACATTAAGAAATAAGTATCCAAGATTCATGTCTTCTTTCTTCCTTTTGATCACTTTGTTACATGTCGCTGTTCCATTTCAGTGTATTTACTATTTACTATCTAAATTCTTATCTCATTAGCCTCAAAGTTTAAATGTCATGGTCCGAACTTGACCTATTTCCTGATTGTGAAGAAAATATGACTATGACTATCGAAAACAAACTTAAACGTTTTATGGATAGACAGCTTGACGTAACCATGTACAATATACAATGTCTGAGATTTTACTCAATGAATATTGCTCTCCCTCAGCGTGATTTCTTTAATAATCATTCAATATTGGCAATGTGTATGGTATAACTGTGTGTAGGTCTACGATATCACACTTAGTATCAGCATTCATGTTACTAAGAGAAATGAAGGGACATCAAAATATGAAAATGGCAATCAAGTGTTGCACAAAGTTATAAGACGATAAAAAGAGGGTTTGAAGTCAATACAGAATGATAAAGGTAAAGCTGGTATACATCTGAGCGGTATCACATAGTCTGTAACACACAGTACTCATTCAGGAGGTTCACATTCGCCTGCAAAGCTCAATCCAGTAGTCATAGAATTCATCATTTGAGGCCACGTCTTAGTCAGGCTATTCTCAACTTCTTTTCAACCTAATTCTTTTTCAGCCAACAAAGCGCGTTGGGGTAAACAGTTATCAGACATGTGTAACACATCTCAACCACCTTGGTTGCTAAGTATTCACAACATCTCTTATATTTACCACCCTATTTATAACCGTAGTTTCCTCACTTGATGGGACCACATTACGCAGTCGATTCTATGCAGGAAACTGTAGTCAGACACTCGAAGGTTTCTCATATCTTCGAACTTTAATAGCTATAAAGTATGATGAAGCGGAGGACTGCGCAGTGCACTGGTTTTTTGGTAGGTAACCAAGCATTTCCTTAGTGTCGTAGATGGCGTGATTTGATGAAATCTAGTTATCCCTTATCTGTCTGTTTAGAGATTTCGTCGATACCTGACCTATCAGGGCTGATCCAACTACTTGGGAAAGTGAAGTTGTCAAGCTGCTCAGCTAATTCACTTCATATTTTTAAATATACAGACCAGTCTTGGAGCAAGAATTTGCATTCGGTTGATGAGAAACGCATACCAGACATTCTCAAGTTGCCATGCAACGTGTTTGAAAGACCCTACTTCTTGTCACAATCTCCACTCAACAAAACGATTTCATTTGTAAATTAAGAGTCTTCTGAAAGAAGTCTCACTCTGTGTAGTCAGGTGAGTACAGAGAAGAAGACATCTACAAGTTTACGTGCGAAAAAGCTGAATAGAAATGGAGAGTAAACATCCTTGACGTGGGCAGCTTACCTGATGGTTTGTTGTAGGTTACAACACAACCACAAGTGTTTGAGTATAAAGCCTTCAATACCGTATTTTGCCTTCATGCTTGTTTTTCTTGGGCTCGCCCTTCTCAAGCTTACATTAATAGTTGGTCGGTTCCAGAATCTAGAATCTTAGATGTCATGTTCTGTAGACTGGTTGCTCTATGGATATCAAAATAAGATTTTTCTCTCTTCTTGAAGACTAAGAAAATCGTCGATTGAGGTCAGTCAAATGTTGTATCTCATTCTCACTACCCTATCGAATATTCAAATCGGTCTAAAAACACTTTTGGACCACTGTCCTTGAAAATATCTGAGGGTTAATCTGTCAAGACCCACTGCTTTACCTCATCTCAGGCTGCATAGAACTTTTTCAGCTTAAGCCATTCAACTTGCTGCTGGGTGGCTGGCAATCAAGAAATATCCAAAGACAAGTTATAAATTCCTTGAAGCGTTCTTCCCATATTTTCCGCCATCTACGCTGTGAAAAGACTACAATCCATGTTTCTACGTTAAAATTTCACCGTCGAGTTGTTGTTCATCTCAGTTTCTTTGATATCATATTAATTGTTTACTTTTCCATATTAATCTTGCAGTATATTTGACAAACTAAGTAACATGGGGTAGTATCGAAGTCTGATTCGCATTGTGATGAAACTATTGCTAATTCTGATCACAGTTTATAATGTTTTTACTTATTATTGAAGTGAACTAGTCACTTTAGGGCTTGAAGATATTCAGTGACAATGTAAACAGATTTTAGTACAGTGATCAACCTACCCTACCTAAAATATCTTTGAAAAACTTTTGGTCTATTTAATTGAACTTGAAAAATGACTGAAAGGAACTACCGTTTGTTAACTGCAGCTGTAAGTGTTATGCGAAGCAAGCGCATGCTAATTTCTAGACTTTAGAAATGCTATATTCGTATGAACGTATGAAATATACATTTGTTTCATTGTATTTCATTATTGTTCGAAGGTTGGTAGTCCTTTCTGGATGGCTCCAGAGATGTTGGCTGGACAGCCTTATGATAATTCGGTTGATGTTTATTCATTTGGAGTAATTATGTGTCAGCTGTTTACACGTTCGGATGCTGATCCAGACAATGTCCCTCGCGATGGTGATACCATGTGCGTAGATATGAACGCACTTATCAAGTTAAATACTTTCCCTCTTAATGTACCACCGATACTAATGAGTATGACTACTCAATGCGTTTCGTTAGATCCTAGAAAAAGGTGCGTTTAGTTCAGTTTTTTTTTATATTTCTTGTATAAAAATTGCTAATAATTACACAGCGTTTCACATCTGCAGCAACTCATGTAAGCAGTACAACTCAACCGGTTATAAGTTTATGTGGTAGATTATAATCCATGCTTTTTGTGGTAATTTTACGGTAGTACTTGGTTGCCCAGATTAACTGAGATGGGTCGGGCGTGAAACTTGGGACCCGCTCCAAAACTTAAGGAATCACATCTCCATTCAGAGATTCATGTGTTTTTATGTGACACTAAGGCTTACTCATTCAGCTTATACACTCATAGCCTTTAAACTGATGCGTTTTCAGTCTTCAGTGATAACCCTTTTGACTGCACTGCCTATAGGTACGACATATCCAACTAATGCCTCCATTTTATTGTGAATATATTTTGAATGAAAAATCCATTAGTCGTCAACAAATGTTTGGGAAACTGACTCTTCTTGAAAACTTGTGAATACTTGGGCGAGTTATGTCTGAGCCCAGCTTTTACGCTTCTGAAAAGTCCTATATCATTACCAACCATTGCATGAACGGTAGGGCTAACAGTTGGATTTCTGATTGGCCAAATGATTTTTACTGAGTATGTCAGCCACTTGCTTTGTTAGGGGTATTTATTTAGTTTAGCAGTCTGTTTATGGGACACAGCCCTCATCATTACGGGTTGTGGTGGAATGCACTTAGCAACCTTGTGCACGTTCGTGCAGTAGGCAATGAGCCATACCTGTTGTGTAAGGGTTACTGATAATGCTATTTGGCTGCCCAAACCTGAGTGGGTGGAGCGGGGTTTGAGTCCGTAACCCATTGGTTGAAATTCACCTCCCTAAACCAGTAAGCCACAGCTCCACTTATGGGTCAGACAGTTCAAAACACACAATATTTAATGCTATCGATTGTCAGTACTAGTCATTAAAACGTCTTGTTCAGCAGGATAGAATAACTTATTGTAATTGTTGTGAAAATTAGCGCTTTAAGGTTCATTTGCTATTTTAATCATGCTGAGTGTTTTAGTACAGCAAACTGTATCCTACTATGATAATGATTGACATGGTGAATTCAGCTCTTGGTTCCAGATTGTCACTTTTGTTTACACTGTTAATCTCTGCCTCATAAGTATATCTGCACAATATTTGCACTGTTGTCTACAATTGTATCACACAATTCGTTTAATGTCTGTATGCCAGTCATATAAGTTGTTCGTTAATAATTTGTTTGAGTAAAGAAGACATTCGATCATGTTCCCTAATACTAAAAATAGATTCAGCTGTTACGTGTGATGAGGTTCTTTTCAATCCGTCACTCAAATGCAAAAGGCTGCTAGAAGCCTTTTTCTACTTCTATTTATTGTTATGATTGAGTATGTATCCGATACGGAAGAATTCTCATAAATTTTTCATGTTAGGGAATCTGTTAAGTTAAGTCTGTTAAGTTGGGTCTATCAATTTTTTGAATTCTGATGACTTTTCAGTTCTGTAAAGGCTGGAAATAGCGGTTTTTTTGTATCTAATAATAGTTTTCAAACTTGTGCATTGGATTCGATTCCAAACGTCAACTTTTAAATAGGGCTTATCTATGTATTTATTTGTTCTATTGAGGTCAGTCTTAATAAGGGTAATTGTAGACTTTGATTAGCACTCAGCACATACGAATTGACGGCTACGCCGATTTCTATCTAGGGACGGATTCGTGTAAAAATATAAGTCCAACTTTCGCATATATTCAGGCTTACAAGCAAGCCTACGCGTAAAACAATAATAGTATCACATGAGGTAGTTAATCTATACTGAACACGTCATTCTAAACAATACGAATGCGTCTACGGTATTTAATATATTTTTATCATCATATATCATGTTTGTGCCAAGTTCATTTTCTAAACACATGTAGAAATAAATAAACACTAAGTCCTTGAGTGCATGTAAAGTCGTTAAAATTTATTCTACTGATTATGACAAATCGTACCAATGTCACACTGTTCAAGAGTTTTAAATATCATCAAAATGATTGATTATTGTATGTTAAGGCTTGTGTTGCTAATGGGGATAACATCACTCACTGGGAGGGAGATACATCTGGCTGACGAGTCCCAAACAGGACGAAACTTGCGTCCTGGATTCCACTGCTTGCCACTATCCATCATTACCGTAAGATTTGTTATTTTGTCTAAAATACACATCAGCATGCGCCAAATGTTAAAGATGAAAAGCGTCCTGTGTAGGGTATTGACGCCGAAGGAAATAGTTTGAATATTCCATAGTTCAGTGGTGATATAACAAAATAGGTAGAAATGATAATAGGGATGAAACCCAATTGGGGAAGTTTTCATTAATTTCTTCAAGTTTTACAGGTACTCACTTATTAACGTTTATCCAAGTATGCTGTATAATGAGGTCGACATTCTACGTGTATTATCACAGTAATGCTGTAAGCTGCTTGCTTGTGTAATTTATTTAACTTTTCGTTCACTTTCTGGTTATTAATTGGACTTAGCCCACCACATTCAAGAGCTGTTTTATCTAACACTGCAAAAGCATCCGCTGACACAGATCCTTCGTCTTCCTAATAAAGCTACATCTGTAAGATATTCGAGAATACTTCCGTCACCGAAAACCAGAACATCCTATTTGAAGTCTGTATTTTTTTACTCATAACAAAAAGTAGTGACTCTGAAGGTTACTTTAACAGCTACCGAAATAACCAAATAAGTTTCTTAATTTTGCCTCAAAAGGTAGCTATTGCATGAAATGACGAAACCGACTGACCATTTCAGTCGTTGTTTGCGTGAAATTTGAAGCTTATCGCATATCGAAGAGTGAGCTCCGATATAATTTCCGTGTTTGTTAATCAATAGACTTCTCTTCTTATGCACGTGATTTGTAATTGGTTGGTTGGCAGTGGAGTTGTCTCAATGTCTTACAGGCTTTGTTTATCTACTTAGAAAATTATTAATCTCCTATACTCAAAATACCATGTTTATATTCGTATTTCAAAGAAATAAAATTTGTCTTTTGAGATTTAATGTTTATAAACTAAAGAGTTATACATATGACCTAAAGTTGACATCCATTCACTCAGGTAGAGACTTCAAAATCCTGAATCTCCTGGGACTAATGTCATTTCCGTACTTGACGACCAAGATAATTAAAAGAAATAAGTTACTCTTGCATTACTATTATTATATATTATTTCTCCCTCGGGTTCCTAGGGGAACATAGGGCTTCAGTAGCACGTTTCTACTCCACTTTGTTCTCTACAATCTTTTAAACCTGGCTCCATGACTGCCCAGAAGCTCTCATTTCTTTCTCACACCATCTCCTCCATGTCACCCTCGGTAACGACGCCCAACTTGTCGATTCCCATCGGGGTTCCACTCGAGGGCGTGACGCGTGATGTCCCCAGTCGGCCTTCTCAGTGTATGCCCAGTCCAATCCATCTCCACTTCCTTCTGCATATTTGTTGGGTGATAGGTTCTTGGTTGGTTCGTTACCCGGCAAGAGTTCCTTGTTGCTTATTCTCATTATTCTGGCTATCTGAGCTTCAGTAACGAGCCAGTGTAGGCAGTTGTTGATGAAAGTCTGTAGTTTGTTGGAAATGCCTTTCGTAACGCGCAAAGTCTCTGAATCATACAGGAGCACTGACTTGACGTTGGTGTTGAAAATCCGGATGTTGTTCACGCTTTATGCTGGGTGTAGAAGATCTCTACACTGATTTCATAATTATTGAAAGCCTGTCTTACTTTTCCGATCCTGGCTAGATTTGACGTCCTCGTCTGTGCCGCCACCTGTAGTTGAAACAGTGCTGCCTAGATAGGTGAAAGAGGCTACCTACTTCAAGTTTCTCCCGTTGATGGTGATTGGAGTTTGTTGTTGTTGTTGGTTATGGTGTTGGTTGGGTATCTCCATCACCTGTCTTCTCTACATTCGCTCGAAGTCCCGTCTTCGCTGCCTCGCCTCTTCTGTCAACCTGTTAGTTTTCGCCTGTAGATCTTCAAGTTTGCGTGACATTAGGCATAAGTCGTTGGCGAAATCCAGATCTTCTAGGTTCTTTTCCGCAGTCCAGCCGGCGTATCCCCCTCTTCTTACAGCTCCCCACTGTTTGCTGCATGATCCAGTCCAGTCGACCACAATCAGGAATATCATGGGGGATAGAAGGCAACCTTGTTTCACTCCTGTCATCACTTCAAAAGCACCACTGAGCTTCCCATTGTGAATTACTTGGCATGTGGCGTCTTCATATAGTTGTTGAATGAGGCGGATAAAGGTTTGCAGTACTCCGTAGTAATGAAGCAATTTCCAAATTACCTCTCGGTCGACGCTGTCAAAGGCCGGCCTTTTCAAAGTCGATGAGGTTGAGGTTGAGTTGAGCTGACTGCCACTCTATACTCTGTTCTATGATGATGCGTAGTGTAGCGTTGCAATTTGGTCGGCACATGATTTGTACTTCCTGAATCCAGCCAGTCAGCCTGTTGCGGTCGTAGTTTTGAATCCAGTGTATCATTTAGCCTCTCCAGGATGATGCGGCTTAATATTTTTCTTAGAGTGAACAGGAGAGTGATTCAGCCCCAGTTCTTGCAAATACTGAGGTCTTCATTCTTCGGGAGGTTGACAAGGTAGCCTTTCTTCCAATCTGCAGGTACCTTTCCTTCTATCCAGACCTTGTGCAATAGTGGTGTGATCATGTCCGCTGTTGTCTCTGTGTCTGTTCTCAGTGCTTCTGGAGGGATTCCATCTGGTCCTGCTGCTTTCCCACATTGCAGTAGCTTAATGGCCTTCAGGACTCCCACTTCTGTTGGAGGATTTATGTTCACTTGTAGTTCAGCGGCTGTAGGTGGTATTTCTGGATGAAGTGCAGGTGGTGGTCGATTCAACAGCTTCTTGAAGTGGTCTGCCCATCGTTTCCTTTGTTTCACTTCTTTCGTAATTAAATTTCCTTCATCATCTTTTATTGGTTTCATCTGCGTTGATCTCTTCCCTCTCAAATAGTAACCTGGTTATTTGATACAATGTTGTCAGGTCTCTATCTTCCTTACCTGCAGCCTGTTCTGCTTCACTTGCCAATGTGTCGTAGAAGTGTCTTTTGTCTTTGCGTGCACTCTTCTTGACCTCTTTGTTCAGTGTAGTGTTTTATACATTGTACTCAATTCCTCTTGTCGTTGAGCATCCTTGCACTGGTTTATCTTCTGCTTCACCATCCTCTTCTTCCTAATCGATCAGCTTCCATGTGTTTGTCGAGATCCATTGCTTGTTTTGGCGCTTCTTCTTCCTTCCTAATACAGCTGTGCAGGTTTCTTTTCACATCTCTTCCAAAGACTTCCAGTATTCATTCACACAGGTTTCTTCAGGGATGTTCCTCGATGTCTCCCATTTTGTCTTGATGGCTGCCGTGAAGATGTCCTTTGTAGTTTCGTCCTTCGGTTTCGGTTCTTTTCTCCGTGTTGAACTTGAACTGTAGTCTATCACCAACTTCCGTGAAGGTTGTCAACTTGATTTTGAAGGTTCCTTGCACTAGATAGTGGTCTGGTGTGAACCTACATCTGCTCCCTTTAATCTTGTGCCAATTAGGCTGCATCTCAATTTTTTTCACATTGAGATGAAGTCGATCTGATTTTTAGTGTGTCCTTCTGGTGAAATCCATGTCGCTTTGTGGATATCCTTGTGTTTGAACACACTGCCTGACTCCAATCACCAAATCATTGAATGCACAGAATTCTGCAAACAATTCTCCATTCTTTTTCATCACCTCACCGAACGCTTCTCGACCTATGGTCATTTCTCTTCTTGTGTTGTCCCCTCCCAGTTTGGCATTCATGTCGCCCATTAGAATGGATTTTGATGTCGCCAACTTAAGTGGTGTCTTGTCCAGTGTTGATTGCAGTTGTCTGTAAAATTCCTCCTTTTTCTCTTGCTCTGCATTATTTGTAGGTGCATTGTATGATTGTGACCTTCTTTCCTCTTGAGTTGAATCCATCTTGCTGTTATGATCCTGGAGGAGTTTGGTTCCCACTGTATGAGAGCCTTCGATGCTGTCGTGGTCATCATGATAGCCAGTCCTCCCTCAGTGTGCGTGTGGTTGTCATTTGGGTGACAATATTGGAGTGGATTATTGACTCTGCAGTTGACAGTTTGGAGAGTCCACTCCCATTCCATCTGCTTTCGCGAATTCCTAACACTCTAATGTGATACCTCTTCATCTCGTTTGCAATCTGGGCTGCCCTGCTAGGTTCAGACATGGTGCGGACATTCCATGTCCCCACGTTTACTTTCGCTTTCATCTAGGGAGAGAAGACATATTGGCCAGTTGGCTTCCCGAAGGCTTTCACCAGGTGGCGTCATTTCGTCTCTCCGATTCCAGCGAGGAATAAGTTTGTTTTTATTTTTTATATATCGTTTGTGCTTTGAAGTTTGTTTAGCGGTTAGATTTGTTTTCTGGGGTAGGGTTGCTAGGCCTATGCCCAACCTTCCCTGTTTACCCGGGCTTAGGATCGGCTGGTAACTAGTGAACTAGTTAACCAGGTGAGGTTACACTTGTAAGAGGACACAATGCTAGCCAGTTTCACTTTACTTAGTAAATACGCTATGATGTATCTGGAATTGGGTGGAGAAAAGAAATTTCTGCTTGCATGACATATTTGTGAGAGAGTTTCCAGGCATTAACTTTCAAATCGCTTTTGATAAGTTTGTTTTACAGTAATTTACCATTTATATCTGGAATAGACTTCAAATCTTGAATGCATATTATATTTTTGTCAAATGTCTATTCTGTCACGTATGCTTCAAATACAGTAACGGAAGGTACATATTCTTAAATATACGTTTGATGTTTTAGGCCTTGTTTTGATTCATGTGTTGGATCATTGGAACAATGTTCAATGTATTTACTCTCTGGACAACAATCAGAGCAGATTCGTTTCTTGTATTCTCCTGACGATGCACCTATGAGCAACGATAACTGTGAGAGGGATATCCTTTCTGATAACCGTCAGGGCGACAGTTGTGAATAGATGGTAAACGCCATATATATATATATATATATATATATATATATATATATATATATATAGAGAGAGAGAGAGAGAGAGAGAGAGAGAAAGACGGAATAGTTATGTAGACAGAAAAAAGAACTTTTTTCATTGAACCGCAAGCAAAGTGATAATTGATTGTGATTCATCTGTGAATTGTACATATACTCCAAGTCATAAATAATATTTAGGAACTAATTTATTTCGCTGACCATCGGAGGGGCTACATTATCCTGCATATAAAATAGCTTCTCCCATTTTAGTATTTTACCTTCCTTATTGCATATATCCCATAGTGACAGTGTGTTTTGTAATTTATCGTGCTTTATTCTTGTATTACGATATTCTATTATACGAAAAGGATTTTTTCTGTTGAAATAAATTCTGTATACTATTTCCGCTTTTTTTAAAATAAAATAAAAGAATAGAAATTTGTATTACTTATAATAGACCTTTTTTTGTTATAATTAAGAGTGGTCCAGTTTTACAAACGAGAATATGGATGAATCTGTTTAAAGTTTCCACGTCTGTCAGTCACAGTATTGTACTGCACTTGAGAACTTCTTTTTCACTTGTTTTATAATCGCATTGGTTTAATGTCAAGAACCAATATAAACCTCGTATGGCTTGTATTTTGAACATAGGTTAGCTAGATAGTAATCGTCATACTCCTAAACTCTTCTAAGACATAAGAATCGATTTATGCTTGATAAGCTTACTTAGTGAAACTCTGCGTGGGTGACTTTCTGGAAAAGTAGTTTACCCAAGAAATACAGGTCGCAGGATAATGTGAACGACTGATAACATTTGCTTCAACTGAAGCCGTAGGCCATGCCCTTGATTGAGTGGTGTATTAAATTGACTACATAAGACAAGTAATGGCAAGCCTATTAAAAAAAGGTTGGTCCAGGAGCGGAGTTAAAAGGAAATATGTAACCTAAGGAGTCAAAGCAAAAATACTTATGACCTTTGTCTAAATGGAAAACATAGTTATGCAAGACATTGGCGGAATCCAAAGTAAATCTACTGTGTCGACAAGTAAATTGACTTAGGTCTCTGAAAGCATTCCATGAAGTTTCAGGGAAAAGTCGAAGTAATTTCTCCACTGTCTTAAAAACATGTTAAGAGATACGTCGAAAATTGAAATCTGATCAACAAGATGGTTTCGACACAAACACAACTATAATCTTATTTCTTGCAGCGTATATTGCATTGTAGAAAAGGATGCAATAACGACATCTTTAAGATGACACAATATGTCTTCATTTTTTTATCTAAATAAAGTGTTTGAAACACTATCAGATCCTGGGCTGATGCACGGATTCAAGAATTAGAGACAGAAAAACGTCATTTGCACCAAAATCAATGAAACTTTACATTGAACTATAGACACCAAGTACGATGAAATCAGCTTTATGAACTATAAATAATTGGCTCAAAGCCCAAACGTCAAAACAAGCTTCATTAGTTATGCGTTTCGAACCAGCAAGTTCCGTGAATAATTTCCACGCACTGGAAGAGTTCCTACACGACAGAAACTTCTCATCGTACATCGAAGTTGCCACTGAAACATGACGAATAATAACACATTGATAAGCACACAGTCGTTTCTTGATATGTGGCGATACCGACGGTGTCAATAATAAGGCTGGTCTGTGTCTGCATCACACCCGATTCCGATGACAGCAAAACTTGAAGATACTTTCCACTTTATACAAGTGAGTAGCTACACTGACGACAAATTTCAGTCGCGATGTGAGAAACCGGTCTGTTATTCAATAACAAATACTGATAGAAGGGAAGGAAGAAATTTTATCCGTCAAATTAACATTTAATTGTTCAGTCCAACTGTTGCATATACTCGACCGTAAACTCAGACTAAGAAAGCTGAAAATAGATATATTTGGAGTGAATGTCATTAAGTGCTGTTCGTTTTGCACAACTTCTGACACCTATTGAGTGACATAAAGAGACAAAGAGAGACACTAATCGGTGAAGTTGCTAGGATATTCGTTAATCGTGCTTGGTAAAGGTGATGTATAGTAGTAAAGTGAACCTAATTCATTTATTTATCAGAGAAAAGTTTTGATATAACATAGGGACACGAAGAAATGAGGTAGGTAAAGTATGTCAACATTATGGGAACGAACACAAGAAGATGATATAAACGGGAATAATGTGAATGAGAAAAGTAGTCTTATACACGATACAATCCAAAAGACTTCAACTAGATTCTAGAAATCCGACGACTATGATACAGGGGTTGGTGAATGACTTCAATCAAATGACGTTGATTACAAACAGTATGATCGCACCAAGGGTGACTTGAAACACCACACTAGCAACTGTTAAAATAACCAGTCATTTTTCGGATTTTTGACTAGTAAGGCATGGAATGGTGAAAAGTAACTGTAGTTATCTCAGCAGTTGCCGGAGTGGCCTTCGAAGTCACTCGGCAACAGCAACAATGTGAGCTCATGAATTGTATAATTCGCCACTCAGATCTCGATTTCAAATCCAGTACTGAGAGTGTCATGAGGCTCAAAGTCTGCAGACACAACCAATGACCTCCAGCTGTGATCGCTATTCCCTAAATTCACTGACGATGACTTGATCGGAAACGTCGGTCAGTTTTCGAACGATGATAGCAAAATTGTTACTCAGCACTATGAGGGTATTGCATAGTCATCCACTTCCGTCAGAAATATGCATGAAACTAAACTCTATGCCACACATGAGTGTTTTGTAAAAGAAAAGGCTAGCAATTGCTGAGATAGCCAATCAGACTTCTGTTTTTCACGAGAACAGCCTTCCCAGGAGAAGCATCCATTCATGATTGGTTATTTCATTAGTCTATAGGGTGGTCTTTACAGTCGTTGTTCCATAAAGTATGTCCTGGATTGGAAAACCTATCTTGTGGAAGACTTCCCATCTTATTTTCAGTGGAATGACTCTAAAGTCCAATTCAGCAACTACAATCAATCAATATCAACATAGGACCAGGCATTACTGCGTAACGGTCCGAGTTGACACACCTCAGTACAGTGCATCAAGTAGAAAGGTAGTGGGTGAAGGATGAAGATAAGAGAATGCAGTCAAAGAAATATAAAGTACGAGAAGAAAGGAAAGAGGAGTGACAAAATGGTGAGATTCGGTAAAGTGTGGTTAAGATGAGGATAGTGCGTGTATACATCTGCGCCACTGACATCGGTTCTGAGCCATATCACCTAGAGTCTCCAACCACTGGTTCCTCTTGTCCCGCCGACCCCAACCACCTAGTCTGCATCGTCCTACATGGCTTAAACCAACAGTCAGAGACTTCATACATTGGTGCCATGTTTTAGTCTGGCCACCTCGGGCCTTTTTCCAGCCTGGACCCACCTCAGCCAACATTGTGTGACGAGGCAATCGGTGACTAGGCATACGTAGTACGTGTCCCAACCATCTCAGTCGATGAAGGTTCACAACCTCGTCAACTGACTTACCTCTTCTCCCTAAAACTCTACACCTAACTTCTGCATTACTCACATGGTGACACCACGGAATACGTCCTATACTACGAAGGCAACGGTGGTCAAACACTTGAAACCTTCTTATATCTTCCACTTTCAATGGCCATGTTTCACAGCCATACAGTAGAACAGACCGGACTGCTGTGCAGTACACGCGACCCTTAATAGACAAACGAATATCACGGCGGCGCCATAGGTGGCGCAAATTGGCAAAAGCCAATCGAGCCTTTTGTATCCGTGCAGAAATCTCATCGGCAACTAACCCACCAGGGTTGATCCTACTTCCCAGGTAAGTGAAGTGGTCAACACACTCAACCACTTCACTCTCTATTGTTAACCGCGGTACCGCTGAAGACCAGTCCTGGAGCAAAAATTTGCATTTGGGTGGTGAAAATCGCATCCCAAACATTCTCAAATTCCCACTCAAAGTGTTCAGAAGACTCTGCATCTTGTCAGCGTCTTCACCTAACAGGACTATGTCATCTGCATATTCTAGATCTAAGGAAAATTCACCTGTGATTGGGTCAACGTCTGTGTAATTAGGTGACGAGAGGGAAACCTCCATAAGAATATCTATGATAAAATTAAATAAGAATGGGGATAGTGGGCATCCTTGACGGACACCACTTGATGAGTATAGCTCCCTGGACAACTCGCCATAGGCTCTAACATGCCCACAAGTGTTCGAGTAGAGAGCTTTCAATAAGGTGATGTACTTACTAGGCACGCCTTTCAGTGACAGACATTGCCATAAGACTTCTCGATCAACGGAGTCAAATGCCGCCTTCAGGTCGAGAAATACAGCTATTGTCGGGCGTCTGTAAGCATGCCTATGTTCCAGGACCTGGCGCAGTGTGAATATTTGGTCGATACATCCACGGCCAGGTCTAAAGCCTGCCTGGTTTTCTCGGGCTTGCTGTTCCCGAGCTCCACTCAGGCGTCGGAGAATTATAGAACTTAGGATCTTAGACACTATGTTCGTCAGGCTGATTCCTCTGTGGTTATCACAAGAGGACTTCTCGCCTTTCTTGAAGACTGGGATGATCAGTGACTTAGACCAGTCGGAGGGGATCGTATTTGATTCCCATATACTGGCTAACACTTCCGTTAACCTGACTAAGAGCACTCTACCACCATTCTTGTATACCTCAGCAGGTAGTCCGTCTGGTCCTGCTGCCCTTCCTCGTTTCAGGCTACCTACCGCTTTCTCAACTTCTTCTAGTGTTGGGGGACCTGTCTCTATGTCCCATTCAGGGTCCGACTGGATAGCGGGCAACGCAATGGTGGCTGGAGGCCAGTTAAACTGTTCCTCGAAGTGTTCTGCCCATCGTCCAGTCGTCTCCCTGCGAGTGAATCGCAGATCCGTCCTTCTCCGCTATAGCCTCACTAACTGTTGTTGACCATTTCCCCCCAGTCTCCTTAATAAGTCTAAATAACTGTCTACTGTTACCGATCGCCGCTGCCTTTTCC